TTCTGTTCAGCAGTGCAGTAAAGTTTCTATTTCACGGAATTCTTTTGTGAGGAGGTTTGCAAAAAATTGATGGCACTCACTTTTCCCGGCACTCTAGTGAAGGAACTAACAAGGGAAGGATACCAACATTAGTCGGCGACTGAAGATGTGATATATATCAGTAGACGCGCCTTTGAACGCTGATTCCAAATCTGTTTTCCTTTTCTGCGGAATGAGTTACCGAAAAAACTTGTGGGCGTTCAAATGTCCAAATTTGGCAAGGTTTAGGTGGCCTAAAATTGGCGAAAAGCTGTACAAAAACAGCGGAAATCGGAAAATCATTTTTGTATCGAGTATACTGTTTGCAAGGAAGGAGCAAAGCCGGCGGAAATCGCATAGATATTATTATAAAGCTTTTCGCTAGTTTCAAGCCACTCAATGTTTGGCAAATTTTCACATTCAAACGCTCATAACTTCTTTACGAAACTTATTCCGCAAAAAAGGAAAGCAGATTTGGGATCAGCATTCAAAGGCGCATCTAACGACATACATCTCATCTTCAATTGCCAACTAATGTTGGTATCCTTCCCTTGTAAGTTGGCTTTCTGAAGTTTTTAATTTTACTCTGCTGAAAAGTGAGGACCCTTCCCGTTTTCATACTGTCAAATGCACTGGGTCTATCCTTGCTTTACAGTGCAAAAGTTTCGCGCTTGTTGCTTAAAGGCAGCGGCTCGCCAGAATGACAACTTTGGAATATTCATCGTTTTCGGTTCCCCCGTACGAGCTAAGTCCAAGACTGTGCTTTGCGGCTTCAACAACCTGCTTTTTCAGACGTGAAAAGTGCTGTTTGTGCGGACCGTATGCCTGTTTTCTAGAGCGCGATTGGCTCCTGAGTGGAGACACCGTACCTAGCGTACCCACGAGCCAATCGCGTTTCAGAGGGCAGGCATATGCCGTCCACCCAGATAGCACTTTTCACTTCTGGAAAAGCGGATTATTGATATCTTTTGAAGCTGCAAAGCATAGTCTTGGATTTAGCTCATCCAGGAGAACCAAGAACGATGAATATCCCAGATTTGTCATTCTGCCGAGCCGCTGCCTTTAAGATTTTCATCCTGCAACGAAGAGTCCCAAAGGCCACTCAAGTTTGCCACAATTTCTTTCAACTCAAGATTTTTTCGAAAATTGTGGTTCAGAGAATGTTTTGTGGCACGAGACCTTGCATTCGTTATGCGCATTTTTTTGAAAAATTTTTATAGTACTTTTCATGCATCTCGGACAAAGGGCGTATAGAGAAAATTCTGAGACTTATTTCATCTTTGAAGGCTCTAAACTTCACAATATACAAAGATGTACAAAAGCGACAGCATACTCAAGAAAAGAAGAAGAGACCTTTTCAAACACCATGAGAAGATTTCTAAAAAATCGGATCTGCTCTAAAAAGCAACACTTTAAGACATAAGAAAAACTTGCATCAATTATGATTCATCTAAATATTTCGATAAAAACTTTCACTATTCATATCTAGAGCGGATAAATTCGTATGTCTGATAGTCCATATATGTGTAACGTACAGTGTTTTTTTTTGTCTTTTATAATTTTTGTTGAAGCTTTGAGGTTCCCATTTCTGGTCAAACTTTGTTTGTATTCATCAGTGCTTGTGAGAGGATGTTTGTATATCGTTCATTTTGGAGCATACAGCGGGACATCAACGAAAAGGTAACGAAATTCGAGATATCAGGAGTAATTTGATCTTTCTCAGCTATGTATTTCTGACGACAGAGAAGCAACAATTTTATAGATTATTTGAGTAATAAAGCCGTACAAACCTAAGTTTCCAACTCGAACAAATTCAAATAAAGTCTTAATTAAGTAGATAAGTTTTAATATCTACTGTCCATCAAAATTTATTGAAATCCGAAAGCGCATCAACTTGAAATATGTAGGAATGCTTACGTTGTCTGTTACGACAGTCACCCTTATCTCTGTGAAAAACCAGATCTTTTTGGATTTCAGGAATTAAGGGGTACGTAAAAACTTTGCACACTTTCCTAAACTGCATCTACTGCTCGAGCTTTGCCAATCGATGATTTTATCATTGGACGTTCGAAGATGGAAATCACATAGACCTTTTTGAATTTTTTTTACCCTGATTTTGTTACCCGTCAAAATACTACAAAAACAGCTCGAAAGATATTGAGATGAGCTGTTACTTCGAAACCTGCTTAGCAGCTGTATAAAATATTTGGAAAGGCATGTTACGAATTCGAAAATGCGCGTCGCTTCAGACGTTTTGGCTTTGAAGATTAGCATTCTGTCACCTCTTAGGGAGAACGTCGACGAACACTTAGAATCGTAGGAGCATTATGACAAGACCTCGATTCGATTATTCATATTCAAATTTTGAAGTTTGGGAGGCAAGAACATGAATGAGCGAAGTGGAGAGCTACGAAAGGTTTCGGTGTACCCTTGTCTAAAAGAATACCCTACAGCAAAAGATGGAAGCACTGACATTGCCTTTGACTGAATATCTAACTGCTAAAAAAAGTTGAACATATTAGTTCGAGTTTCCAAATTCGGAGCCGAAATTTTTCGAGTTTTTTTTCTATCAAGGAATGAAGCAAAAAATTGCTAGAGCATTGTAAGAGCTTCTATAGACAAGGTTGAGAGTATTGAGAAAAGAATGTTTCAAAAATGCCTACAAAGTTGCCATTTCACCACGCATCATTATTTTCACCCTAATAGTCTACAAATGTTGGTGGTTACTAATTTACGTGTGGTTTGGCCTTTCATGTTTTAGCCTCGTACACATTCGATAGGCATTGAGCTTTACGTTGTTCGAATGTCAGTAAAAAGTATTGAAAAAAGTGAATTGTATACGTTTCATTCTTGCCGTTTTCTGGGCAAGTTGTGGATATTGGCACGATCGCGTGGGAATCTGTAGTCGTCTTATTTTGCGAATCTCATCTATATCTGTAGAGTTTTTGTAGCGCAAATGGCAGGATACTTATTCACCATTCAAACGCTCTGTACACTTTACACTTTACAAGAACTATCTAAATCGATCTCAAAACGTCATACTATGTGGATTTCTTTCAAAATTAGGAATGCTTGCTAAAGTGACGCATCATACGTAACTCTTTTCCCTCGGAATTTGTCAGCGAGTGATCAGAATTTTTTCTTAAAGCAAAGCGTAGTTGTGCATCTGGGCAAACCTAGAGCTTAAGCGCTCTGTGGAGAAAATGTCTTCTTCTAAATAGAATAATATTAGGTTGGTGCAAAAGTAATGCGCGTTTTTCTAGCCCTTGTTTCAAGATAGCTTTTCTCCATCGAAGTTTTTCCTATGAAACGTACCCAGCATACTGTTAAGAAGATTCTTTCACGCTCTATTCAACGGTGGTTGAAAGAAGCTTCTATCCTCATTCCTTAAAAACTTATAGAGCTTCATACAACCGCACTCAAAACCAGAATTTCATTGCGCTTACTTTTTCGGCCAGATTTCAAGCGCGAGTAAAGGCAATATTTTAAAAATTTAATTGCTGTATGTAGTAGAACTTTTCTAAGTTATGCATGCTTTACAGTTTTCCTAGAAATCATTTAGACTGAGATCTCGGCGCCTCAACATGAGTGATGGTTTTGGCCATTCTGTGGCCCATAAATTTCCTTTGAAGAGGGCAATCGCGAAAGCTTTGCTCATTTAGCGTAAGGGTGGGCCTCCTGTTGACAGTTTTTGCAGAATTGTGGAAGCTGTTCAGTACATAGAAAATTAAAAATTTCCATATTTTGGGATTTCGAGGGCTACGAAAAAATGTCGGAAAAAGCGGACAATTTCGAATATTATTTTTTCCCTTTCGCGAATATTTTTTATTTGAGCCCTTTTGTACTTTTTTGTACTACTGGCTTGCGGCTACAAGGCAGTCAACTTATCATTTATACCGACAAATCTTGAAGGAAGTTATGATCACTTAGAAGCGAGGTTTCCGAAAAAAAAATTTTTTTGCTTATCACTCCATATTTTTTTACCGATTTGCGATGTTAACATAAGTAAATGTGCGCTGTATAGAGAGAGGTTTGGTGCCTCTGATGAACTTTGCAGCACTGAAAAATATAGATTTTTTAGAAAGTTATGACACGTCAAAGTGAGAACTCGCAAAACGCGCATTACTTTTGCACCAACCTAATACTTTTGCTCTGATTAAACTACATCTTGCGTCACTGATAAATTCGTTGCGTTTTTCTGCAACTTGATAGTAATTTACGGTCTTAAAAAACGTATCACCCATAGTTCAATTACATATGATACTAGTTGGCAAACCCGGCTCCGCCCGGGACTGTCAATAATATATTTGTATCAATAATATATTTGTAATCAGCATGCTCGATTACTCCCCTGTGCCAACTCCCAGCCCTGTAGCTCAAATTTTGCATAAAATCGATATCGATCGATAAGGAAAAGTAGCCTATGACACGCTCCCTGCCCCGAAGTATATGTCTGCCAAGTTTGGTCCAAATAGGTTCAGAAATAAAAATTTCTATTCCGCACATACGTACAGACATACAGACATTCAGCTTTATATATAAGATGCGGACGATGTGCTACAAAAAGAGGGATTTCCTGACGGCATCGTAGCGGATGTAGTGTACTATGAATTATCATTGTCATGAACTAGTCCCCTCACATAATATACAGAAGTTGTTGAAGGAAGAAATGTATTCGGTTACGGCTTCTTCAGTATTCAACTTCTCAAAAGTCCCCTAGAGTTCCACCATGGTATGTTCCAGACGCTTCTGGTTTACTTTACATTTGTCAAACGATGCAGAATCACATTATTTGTGCAACAATGAGCCATAAATATTGCTGTAAAGGCACATTCCAGCGCAAATCTAAGACCTTGGAGACTATCGATGACCGAGCAGGCTTATATACTTTGACATCAGCGAGCATTGCTTTGGGTGGTGGAACTTGATGTTTCAAAATAACAAAGCTTTTAGTGCCCATAATTTACTTTAAAATTTTCCAGGTGGAAGGACGCACGTCGGAATCGGAGTGGATGGACGATGATGATGAATGGAGACAAAGGTGCGTTCTGCGTTCACTATTATTGTCTTTATCCGCAAGTCGTTAGTAGAGTCTCGGTAGTGAATTGCGAATCTTGTTTCAAAATTAGATTACCTTCCATAAAGTCAGCTTTTCGTTTTCAGTTGCTCAGCCCTCCTAATTTCTTCCTCTTTTGCATTAGTACTTTACGAAGCTAATTTCCTACTTTCCAGCACTTAACTTGGCTTAGTTCGGACGCAAAATTGCATCTTGGCATTATCTCTCAGTCATCTGATCTTGATAGAAACGACCTTTTGCGCTAGTTCGAACTTTCTCTGCCCTCGAAGTGATTTCAGTGAACTTGATCATGTTCGCATCTTGCGTTGTTTCGCATGAAACCTGTTCCCTTCCCTTTTTTCTTGTATCATATATGTGAAACTTGAATACGCCGTTTGCGACTTCTAAGTACTTCTACCGTCCCCTAATGCAGATCTTTTTGACGTAACTAGAACAAGAAAAATTATGAAGTTATTGTTTTCCATCAGTGTTCTTTTTTTTTGTGTAGACTATTTCGCCTTGTTTCTATCATATCAGTTTTGATAAATAAAATGCCTTTTGTTAACAGACTTTTTACCTCAGGCATTACGCTAGTCATGCCCATGAACTAAGAATAAGCCTTGCCTCCTTCATTAATGCTCCTCCTGCAGTGGCGTTTTGAATGAGTTCAGAGCTGTAGCTAGGTTGCGCTTAGTCTGTTCATCAAGCATTCTGCAAATGTCAATTACATTGTTGTTCCTTCTTCCATATTCACGGAATAAAATAGACGAAAACTGAGAATATGCATATTATTTTTGATTCTCGAATTTCAAGCTTCATCAATGAATTTTCTTTTGTAAAAGAAGCTTATTATTCAATGAATAGTGATGTACATGCTAATGTGGATATTGTTGTATTTTCTCATGTATGATAATCAGTTTCGTTCACGCAGATCTCAAGCGTGCATGATGCTTCTCACAACATCAGAAGAGGTGGGGGGGGATTGAAATGCAGTCTTTACAGGGCTCATGGCGCATTGAGTAATAGATTGTCATTTCATTTATCTGACTTTCACTATCTTACCACTCAAAATGCATCGTGAATGCGTACCTTCGCGCAGCACCATCAGCTTTCATAACATTTGAAACACATCTTGCTTTTATGCGAAAAAAAAAACATTTTCCTGCCACCTTACCATTAGTCCTTCGTTTTTATGATGTTTATCAACTCTTTTCATCAGCCATTCCAAGATTAGTGCAACGAACGCTTTGCACACTCTCTGTAACAAGCTCGAACTTCTTCCTTTGATTTATGTAATAAATCATAAGTATCCTGAAGGAAGGATAATACAAGTATGAACTTAGTTAGTCACATGTGTGCAAAGCATTGCTTAGTATTTTCATCTTGAAATGATGATAGATTCACTTTCGCCGATGTTCCTATAGTTGGGATCGAATTTCAGTCTCATGAATGTCTTCATTTATGTATGTTGAGCAAGGCATTGCAACGAGAATGAACTCTCTCTGATGGAAACTTCATTGATTCCCCCATATCTCGATGTTATCTATTTCATGGTTAACTTGAATGCGGACATCGCCTACCTCTTCTTATACCTTCAAACGTTTCCGTTTTTGCCATTCCTGATTTGTAATGCAAGTGCGAGAAAGAGATTCTAGTGACATATTTTTAGGTGTACTTGAGCCATTTCGAATAAATATATTTCTACTCAATCTTATCCTACAGTAATGTGAACTTCTTGGTGTTTGTTTAGTCACGCAGTCTCTGTGATTGCTTTTATGCTTTTTCGTATGTTTAAAGTGCAGCTCAGGTGTTGTTCCAATCGAACAAATGTGACTTTAGCATCGGTAGCAAAGCTGTTAGCTCTTAGGGACTATATGCGCTTTTGGCTATGGCTTTTTGACTAGTCTTCACTTAGCAAATGCAGCACGACTTGGATCTTTGGCTTTGCAAGGGGCTGCTAAGTGCTCCTAATTTGTGCTGATTCCCACTCAGGCTAGAATAGCGTCTTTCTTCCTTGTTTCCAGCTCTACCCTTTATGTAACGAAGATTGGGCTAGTCGGCGTTGTAAAACCTATGGCGTATTTCCATTCTGAAGATCGTGAAGCTGCACTTCATCTTTACTCTCCCATGTTTTATGCTTTTAATGTTTAGTTGTGGGAAATAAAATGTCTATTCGAGTTCTGAGGCATTAGTGTGATAATCAGAACTACAATGTCTCGGATCAAATTCAGTTATACTTCTTAGAGTTTTTCTTCAAAGACTCAGTAATTAGATTTAGAAAACTTGCATCCTCTGATCACCAGCATCTCTACACTAGACCATTCAGATACTCGATCGTAGCTGTCTCTGAATAGTCTATAGAACCATCGTCGATGAGTTCTGACATTTTGTGTGGTAAGCTATCAGAAATACTATCTCCATTCAGTGGCAAGGAGCAATTTCACTCCTATCCGAAATTGAAAGTAGCTCACATTGCTAATTGCGCTAGTGGCTTGTTTTCTTTTTTGACTAATCAAAACAGTTTATCATCTTGTAAAAATTCAGATTGCTGCGAAAATATTTTTTCGAGGGTTGGTTGCATCCACGCGTGTTTTGCACAAAATTTCGAACTTACGCTGCAAAGCATCAGAATGCTCAAAAATTTTCCGGGGACGTCGAGGGTAAATGCCACGCACCTTTTGATAGTTCCATCGCCCCACCCTCCCCCTTCTAAACTATTCTTTCGGACGACTGTTGCCTTCATTGTTTTTGATCTGCTGCCTTTTGTCCCCTATATGGTACCCACTAGAAAGCGAATCAATGTTATGCGCTCGTATCCTTACAGGGTACTTGGTGACCGTAGCCATTCGTAATGACCTGTATATCAAAAAATGCGCCTTTAAATGCTGGTTCGAATCCTGTCTTCCGTCTCTGCAAACGATAAGTTGGATGGAGTTATGATTTTTTTCCATGAATAAATTGCGTTACTGCGGGAATCCAAAATCATCAATAAAAATTTTTCTCTCCCTTTCAAACGTTGAATATGCTTCAGATAGATGTAATACGACAGTCTATCCTTTAAAGGCAGTGTCCGGGCAAAAACTCGATTTTGAGATTTTGTGCTTATACGGGCCTATTCGCCATGCTGATTCCGAAAATCCACATTGGAAAGCGCGAAAAAGGCGAAAAAGGGCTCTAACACAGGAGGGAAGTCAGCAGGTGGGCGGGGCTTTCCCCAGTGTGATTTCAAGCTCCCAGCTCCCGGAGCGATTTTCTCGAATCCGCTAGCCGTCCTAACATCGCTACCGGTCAAGTGCGAATGATTGACTTGAAACCGGAAGCGAGAAGGTCGCTCCGGAAGCCGGGAACGTGAATTCGCAGTGGGGAGGACCCCGCCCACCTGCTCATTTCCCTCCTGTGTTAGAGCCGTTTTTCGCCATTTTCGCGCTCTACAATGTGCATCTTTGAATTCAGCGTAGCGAATAGACCCAAGTAAGCACAAAATCTCAAAATCGAGTTTTTGCCCGGACACTGCCTTTAAGATTCTTTTCAGTATCTTCAAACGGTAACCTAAAACAAACTTATTTTAACTACCCAAAAGTACGCAAATTTTTAACGGGAAAAGTTCATAACTTCCTTCAGGAGAACGTTTCGCAGAATTGAGCACAGATTTAGAATCAGCGTTTCGAGGTGCATCTTACCGTATACATCGCATTTCCGAACGGCCACAGTCGCCGAGTGTCCTTGTTATATAGAGTACGCAAATCATCACACTTTCCGGAGAGCCGAAGGATTTCATTATTCTTCACTATTGCTTTTAGAATTTTCTTGTCATTAAGTGTCGCTACGGCCAAGCTTTACATACGCGCCTAATCTATGGTTGCGAGGAAGCGACCTTCTGATAATCGATTTGCGACTTAAAATCTTGGAACGGAGAAATAAAACATCTATCTGGTATCATCAGTTACTGCATATTTAAGTCGTTGTTCGTAGCGGTCCGCATGACTGAGGCGTAAGACCCTGGGACTATCTCGCGCGATCCGGTTTACGAGATTTGGCAAAATTCCAGATCTTTGTGACTTGGCGCACTCCTTTGAGTATGGAGCACTTGTAGGGTCTCGCACGATGCCTGAAAATACCGTAAGCAACTGCTACTTTGCCATTCCGACTGGAATAGCTTGTTGTATGCTCAATGAGTGCCTCGCGAAATACCTACTAAAGTCTGTCTGTTTGTCGAAAGTCTGTTTTACTGGGTAGTAGTTCTGCGCAATTCGTTGCATTCAGCAAAGATTCAAGAGAGTAAAACATGCTCTGCAGCTGTACATCTGCGAATCTGAAGCTATTTATTGTTAAGATTGATTATTGATCTGTGATTGAGGCCTTTTACCCTCCCAAATCTGAGCTGATGCTGCATAGACAACAGACCCATTTTTTCATAACGTCAATGGTTTCTCTACATACATATTCGCTTTCTAAGAAAAGAGGGGAAGATTGCGGGATTGAACTTTAGTATGGTTCCTAGCCATTGCGCCATCACCAGTCATTTAGGAGTTTGACATAGTTGTACCTTTTCCATAAATGAGGAGATTTCAATTGGTCCAAATGCAAGAAGAAATATGCTTTTCATATCTCTTCGAGTTGCATATCTCTGTCAGAGACTCTCAGAAAGTTTTGGACTTAACAGGGAGGGTATATGACTCGCAGTGGAGTTTCCCTATGAGATGTATATCATTCGAAAGGTCTTTGAGTGCTGATTTCAAATCAAACTTCCGTATCTGCTCATCGGTTTATTGAACAAAGTTACAGGCATTTGTTTGGCCCAAAATGACACTGATTTTGGTTGTTTTCTCCAGCACTAAGGAGGCAAGGTAGCTCGAAAACTATTCCCATCAGTTCTTTTATGTACAATAAATATATCTCAGAAATTGGGGCGTGTAAATTTGGACCAAATTCGCATTTATATCAGATCATTATCATTTACAGTACATGGCCATGCAAACTGGAAG